CTTGGAAGTTGCGTCAAGATGGTGGCGCCGTCGCCTTAAAGCTCCGCCCCCGCCGCCTCGCGCACGGCGCGGTTACGTCATCGCGTTCCCGCCGCCCTGAACCCGGAAGTACGTCTTCCCATTCGCGGGCGTGCGGGGCCGGCGGGAGCGCCCGAGCCGAACGGAGCCGAGCGCAGCTGAGCTGAGCTGAGCCGAGCGGAGCCGAGCCGAGCCGAGCCGATCCGATCAGGCGGGGTGGAGATGGCGGCGGCGGCGGCGGAGCTGCAGGGGAAGTACCAGAAGCTGGCTCAGGAGTACTCCAAGGTACCGGGGCCCGCAGCCCTCGGCGCCGCTCCGGGCTGAAGCGCTGGTTTCCGTGGTAGCGCGGAGTGCCGGGGCCCAGGGGTGCCTCCTCCGGGGAATGAGGCAGAGGCAGCCTCGGAGGACACGGGAGGTGCGGGTTTGCAGGTGCCGAGGGAGCGCGGCGAGAGGCAGAATGGCCCCGTCTGCAAGGCGTCCTGGAATCCAGACAGCGGGCTCAGCTGTGCTAGGGAAGTGAAACTGGCAGGTTTCCCCTTGTTCTCCACTTCCCAGTCGGGTGCCAGGCTCGGTTTTATCCGCTTGGGTGTGAACGTTTGCCGAGGTCTTGGCGTGCATCTCAGCCGTGTGAGCTCGCTCTGGCCGGCGGCTGTGGCAGCTCGGCGGTGTCAGTGGTGCTTGCAGCGTCTGGGAAGTGAACAGGACACTTGCTCCCACACTTGTCTGCTGTCTGTCCCCCTTCTTCTGCCCTTTTGCATCCTGTTTCTGGTGCTGGCTGACACAAACTTGGCAAAGATGTGTAGCCCATAGCGCCTCTTCTTTCCAGGGTGCTGGAGATGGCTTCTAAAATAGTGGAGCCTTGCTTAATACAGAGCCCTTCATTCTTTCGTCTTCACTAAAAGGAAGAGCAGACTCTTGGTCTTGAGTGGCAGAGTCCTTCAACAGCCTTGGGGAAGAACGGCGGCACTTTGGTTTCGTGTAGCCCCATATCAGCAGCTGGCACAAGGCACTTGTCTGTATTTGACACTTCTCCCAGCTTACAGAACCATGTCTTTAAATAACTCTTCTTGGAACTGTTCTAAATTGTTCTCAGATAGATATCCTTTTAATGCTTCCACAGAATAATTTTAAGAAAATTTAATTTACTTTGCAGCTCTGTAGGTCACAGAATTCTCATGTCTTGTTATCAATAGTGGCTGAGGCTAAGATAGTGGAGGGATTTTGGTGCTTGTTTCCTGAATGAGCATTGGAAATGGGGACTTCTGACTATAGCTTCCAAAAGTTCCAGCTTCTGGATCCTTTCTTTTAGTATCATGGCATCCAGAAGCTTTCTTTGAGCTTCATCATGCACTTCTCAGCCTGTGGCATTTACCTTCTCCTTTGTGGGAACTATTTTTTTTTCTATCTCATCCCATTTCTCATGCAGTGCGCAGTTCATTGTGGGACTCCCCTTTGCAGAACCCTCTCCTCTTTGTTGCTGGCTGCTTGTTGTGTACAGGTGGAAATGGAAAGTAGCCCTGGAGTAGCCTGCTCACTTCATGCTGCTGTGAAAGCCATAGAGAGAGGTGGACAGGAGTTCGACAGACTCAAGCAGTGCTGGGGGAAGTCCCTGCCAAAGGATTGCTTTTCCTCTTGGTTCACAGACCAGTCCAGAAGAAGGATGAGGAGAAAAGAAACTCTGAAAACACAGAAGTTGCAGCTTCTGGCTGTTTCATGAAGGAATAGTCAAAGCAGCTTGTGGCAGCCTGTGTGGGTCACACTTCAGCTGGGGTCTCTGGGTTGCAACAGGACTGAGCTGCTTCATTCTCTGCACCTGATGTGTTCCTGCAGTAGCAGCTGTGGCAGAAAGACAGGTGTGGAAAACTACTGCACTGCTCCTTCTTGCTGGGGAAACCCTGTGCTTGGAAGTTTTTCTGTGGTACACTGGGAATTTTCTTGTCTTGCCTTTGTGATGCCTGAGCAGCACAGTGGGAGTACTGCAGGGGGAACAGCTGTGCTTAGCAGTGACTTCTGACCTTTCAAATACACCCAGTCATCACACTGAAACAATGAGCCACTGCTGCTTAACTCTGAATCTTGCCTTTTATGCACGTGCCAGAGGTATTCCCACTGTACAAATCCTTTTAATTTATATCTACAACAGCTGGACTCACACATGTCAAATGAATACAAACTGCCTATGAAGAAAGTGGGATTCAAGCAATTTTCAAGAAATGTGAAGATGGAATTGTCAGTATCCTCATTGCTGCAGGGGTAGAGGTACTCTGTGAAGTGACTGAGAAATAGATTTCTTGAGTATCACTTTTTACTGCAGTGATTTTAGCTCAGATTTTGGGTACTGTATAAGTAAAGCTTAGAGGGCTTTTCCTTCTATGCTTTTTATACCTTTCTGTGTCAGTCTGTTCTCTCTCGATCATCTGCTGCCACTGGTAATAAGTAATTTTGCATTAAACTCCTTTTGAATTGATACTGTTTTTGACTTTGTGAGTCCTGCTTATGTTCCAGTTATAAACAGTTTTGCAGAGAAGAGAAATAGCCCTGAATGTGACCAAAACTTCATTAGTTAAAGAAGAGGTTGCACGTTTTCCATATTTGTTCCTGGCTCTTCAGATCTTAACTATATTAAGTAGCTGGTCTTTAAAGTTGTTTATTGAGTGAGAAGCTTGTTCTATTTGGCCAAAACATTCAGGTGGTAAAGTAACTTCTTGTTTCTTGGCAAGTCAGGTTATGAATTGGATACTTTTTTCAACCTGATACCACTGCTATCTACCTGAAGAGAATACTTGAAAAAGCATTCACACCTGGCACTCTCCTGAGAGAATGTGATGTTCTCTGCACTTTTTCATGAGTGACTTTTATTTATTCTGTTGTCTTGTGTAGTTACTGGTATCTCTTGTTTTTCAGCTTCGCGCTCAGAACCAAGTCCTGAAAAAAGGAGTTGTAGATGAGCAGGCAAACTCTGCCTCACTGAAGGTAATCTCTAAAAACTGCTCTTGTCAGGTGTACTAGGCTGTGGCAAAGTAAGTAAACAGGGGTGCTTTTTACTAAAAATGAATGTCAGTAAAACTATGAAGAAGGAACTGTCTTTTAGTAAAAGAATTTCTGTTTTGCAGCTAGCCTGTTCTCTGTAAGTGCTGACTTTGTAAAAGGGGAAGGTTGATTCTTGATGATTATCCTATAGAATTAAATAGCTATTTAGGTGTGATCTGTGGCCAGCTCAAGGAAATGAAATACATTTTTTTACTTTAGAAACAATACTTTTTGCCTCCTCAGTGTTTAAAAAGTGAAGCAATTTTCTAATTTGTTCTTGTTTTAATGTGTAAAAGTAAAAAAAAAAAAAAAAAAAGTAAGTGTGAAAATGTTAAAGGTTTTTTTTTTTTTGTCATTCAGGAACAACTGAAGATGAAGGATCAATCACTGAGGAAACTGCAACAAGAAATGGACAGCTTAACTTTTCGAAATCAGCAACTTGCTAAGCGAGTGGAGCTTCTTCAAGATGAACTTGCATTAAGTGAGGCTCGAGGCAAAAAGAACAAGGTATGTGCTGAAGGCAAAAAAGACTTGCTTAGCAGAAGTCTGCTCCTCACCTGTCAAAGCCTTATCCTGATTTTTAGCAGTAGGCATTTTATGTCAAGGGTTGAGCTGAATGCTCTTGTCAGAACTTGTGTTATTTTACCTGATGTTAGTGAAAATACACATAAAACAGGTATTGATATATACATTGATATAGACATATAAAACATGTTGGGTAATTCTCTGCTCTTCCAAACTGTCTAGACTGATGCTGAATTGCTGTCTTTTATGGATATCTATGAAGTGTTCAAACAACTGGGAAATACCTTGGAGCTCTGGGATTAGTCAGCTGCTATGCAGAAAGCTGATCACTCCTCATTTCCCATGCCCACTTTTTTGCTTTGTAATTTTGATGTTGATAGTTAACTTCAGCTTCCTATCATAGCTTTTCTACGTGAATCTTGTCAAATGCTTTGAAATCTAAATTTTAAGCTTGTATTCTTTATATTATTTCAAAATGACAGAATGATTTCAACACTGATCTTTCTCTGCCAAAAACGCTTGCTGATTACACCTAGTGATACCATATTTTAAGACCAACTGTGCCTTCTCTAGGTAGCATCACAATTCCAGGGATGGTGTGCTTAGACTTAAGTAGCTCTCAAGCATCTCTTGCTACTTCCCTCATGAGGAAACCCCTCTTAATTACTGCTGTCTTTTATTTTTGGTGCTGTCTTTTCTCAATGTGCTGTGGTTATCAAGACAGGCTTTATAGAAATCATTCAATTGATTAGTAGTCTGATCATCTTTCTTACTTCTCCCCTAAACTCCTGCCCTTTATTCTGTTGTCCAATTCCTTGACAAGCATAGTATTTCTGACTACATTATTCATGCACTACAGTAGATTGTTATTTCAAATGCAGTTTTGAACCTTCTGTTCTTTTATTTCAAATTGTGTTACTGTTTTGCTAACTGTGTTTCCAAATTTTGAAGGATGTCAGCCTGTCTTTAGTAGCTTTGCAAACCACTGCCACTGGGTTTCTTTCCTGTTCATCTGTCAAAATGCACAGCTTTAGTTCTCTGATCTGTGTCAGAGTGCAATCCTTTTAGAAGGAGCAGAATATGTGCTCATACCTCAGGTAGAGTTCATAGGCTGGCATCAAATACAGAGGTGACTTATCTGCCCTACATAACCCTAGTTGTTGAAGTTTGGTGTTGAGTTTAAATGCAAAGAGTCAGTCTCCCCAGTGTTTGGTGATGATAATAACTTTCTTCAGCAGTGTGGTGCATGGGATTCACTGGTGGTCTGAGTCTTTTGGATTAAAGGAGTGAAGAATGAGGGAACAGTTGGCAGAGGGATATGTGTGGTTGATGGCCAGGGAAGGCCCTGTGGTTTCCCTGGCACCTTGTGCTACAGCCTGCTGAGAGCAGCCTGGCTTACACCTGGGCCCTTACTGAGCACAGATGTGCCTTACACACAGCCACCAAACCAGCTGAGCCCGTGTCTGCAGCGTTTTGATTACTGACTGCATGCAGCATTCCTGTGAATTCAGATGGGCTGTTGCCCATCCATGTGATTGATTCCCTGTGTGTGTGTGAATGGGACACCTGAGTGGAGGCTTTCCCGAGGCAGTTTTGTACCACTGTAGGGTCACAAGGGTGTGAAGGAGAGTGTGCTGCCTTGAGGCTGGTGCTGTGTGCAATATTCACGCCTTTTGACACATCAGTCAGTGTCAGCAGGACACTGCTGGTGTGCCCCTTCTGGGAATTAGCTGTGGGAACTTCTCACAGACCTGGGACTTGGAGATAATTAGTGCACTTTCTCTTATAGAAAAGTGTAGAATCCTCATCTCACCTGAGTCAAGAACAGAAAAGTGTCTTCAATGAAGATCTTCAGAAGAAAATAGAAGAAAATGAACGACTGCATATACTTGTGAGTGAAATTTAGTTTTGCCTTTATATTTGGTTCAGAAAACTGGTGATACAAAGAAAGATTTGGAAAGTAAAGTGCTGTCTGAAAACTGGTGGGTTTAGAAGCTTAGTTGTATGCAAAGAAGTAGATTAGATCAGATAGTTTGTTTATAAAGATGTTCACTAGGCAAATAAAGTACTCTGACTTTGTATTTTTAAGGCAGTGTGTGGAATCACATAATATGTGTTTTCTCATTTGGATATTTGACTTTTGGAGACAGTTGCCCTACTGAAAATTGCCTGGTACTGGATGTAAACTTCTTATTAGGTTCATTAACTGTTTCAGAATTGCTTTAAATTTTAAAATATTTTCTGCAAGTTGCCATAATTAAGTCAGGAATTATTTCACCAAAGTGAAATGCATTTCACTTTATAAAACTTGAAAAACTTTGTTTTTATTGAAGTACTTTGTTCCTGAATCTTTTCTCTGTAAATAAAATTTCTCTTTGTCTGAGAACTGGTAATTGCTGTTAACCTGATCTGGCTAATGAAATTGGAGTAACTTAAAGGACTGGATTCAATAGTAAAATAAAGCTTTTTAAAGAGCTTTGCTTTTCTTCCTGTAGTTCTTTGAAGCAGATGAGCAGCACAAACGTTTGGAAGCAGAGCTGAGGAGTAGACTGGAGGTTTTGGAAATGGATGCTGCCGAGCACCAAGCTGTGGTGGACAGCTTAACGAAGAAATACACAGAGACCATAGAAAAGCTGCAGAATGATAAAGCCAAATTAGAAGTAAGGAGTTTTTCCTCTTGCCTGCAAGTTTGAAAAGTTTTGAAATGTCTTGCTGTGTCAGCACTTACATTGTGAGATTATCTTCTTGCATAAAGATCAAGTCTCAGACACTAGAAAGAGAAGCTAAGGACTGTAGGCTTCGAACTGAAGAATGGTAAGTGTCTTTATTTCATATAATGAAAATTTCATTGATGTGAAGAAATAATTGCTGTGAAACATTAGCTGGATTATTTTTTAAGAATAATACCTTTTCAAAAAGGGGTATAATTAAAAGACTTTGATAAAACTCATATTATCATGAAGACAAGTGTTAGCAGTGCAGGTCAAGTCCTCCTTTTCCTTTTCTATGTATGTAGCTAGACAATTCCACAATTTCTGCTTTCAGTAAGAGCAGTTTTTCCTCCAAACTTTTTAAATAGCAGTGATGTTGATGAAAGCTTGAAGAATTTATTTGTAATGGAAAACCATAGAAAGTAAAAACTTGCATAAAACAAAGATATGTGAGTTCGTAAAAACTGCTTCTAAGAAGAAAGTTTGAGTAACGTATGCTGAGAGAACTGACTGAAAAGAGTTTCAAAAATCCCCCTTCACTGCAAAAGCTTCTTGAGCAATTGTTTTTGCTTCATGTATAATGTTCTCAGCTATAATATTTGAAAGTTTTTATCAGAGAATTATAATGTTAGTTTTGGAATATTTTCACTGTCTTGAAGACAGGTTGTCGAAAATGTGGAGTTGAGGACTGTGGGCCAAATCGAATTAGGATGCATTTCTCTGGAGCTCATTAAGCTGCATTTTTTTATGCAGTATAGATACATAATGTAATGAAGAAGATACATAGTGAATGATCAGATGCAGAGTTCCTTCTTTCACATGGTAACCCTGAAGTGTGTATTTTAATTATGTTGATACATGTAAAGATACTTGAATCCAATAACTCCACCCAAGTCAGGGTTTCACTAAAAATTATTTGCAAAAGAGGATGAAAGCTGTGTTTGGCTGCTGTTTGCTTTTTTTGCGGTATTTGAAAAACTGTAGTCTTAATCTGCTACTATGCAGTTCAGGCCTTGTCTATCATGTTCTGTGATGACTGGGTAATTGAAGTCATTGTAAGTAGTTGTCCTTTACTATTTTAAGTTATACTATATTAAGTTTTTAAAAGTTATGAAGCCTGACACTTCATTGTAAACACTGAAATCACTGTCTGTTAAACACATGGGAGGATGTGTCTCTGAGAATACTGCCCTTCTGTTTTCCCTGCTTTGTCAGGGGAAGGGACCCATTTGCCTCCAACACCCACACTTTACTCAGAAAAGCCAGGGGATATGAGACAGCCTGCATGCCTTGAAAATTAAAGGGCAGAATGTAAGGCAAAACATGTCTAACTACTTGTTTGTCAGTCCTCTACAGTATGAAAAGGAAATATCAGTACATTTGCAGTTTGTTTTGGAGTTCATTTTCTGTCATGCTCTGTGCTGCTGCAATAGCTGCTGTACAGTTTCTATGCAATTTTGGAGCTGCTCTCCAAAAAAAAAAAAATTTGTTAATGTGCATGAGCTACCTATTGGCCAGTTTCTTCTTATCTTTCTTGTCTATTTTGGATTATTTTGCTTTGTTAGAACTGATAAGTTTCTGTGTTTCAAATGTTGTAAGAAAAGAAAAAAGACATGTCACTTTGACACCTTCCCCCTGCCCCCCACCCTCCACTATATGTGCAGGAGTTCTAGATGTCAAATAGGAAGCAAAACAGTGAAGAATTTGGGGGCCTAAGTTGGGTAAGGTGTGGAATTTGGTCTAAATCAATAACGGAGTGTTCTTTGTAGACATGTGTATATTGTGCTGGAATATATTGTTGTTCATCTCAGGAATCTGTTCTAATAGATTGTATTAGTAATCCTAATTGCTTAGGTTCACATGTATACACACAGTCAAATGCAAGCAAAGAACATATAGAGAAAAAACACTTGCATCAGAAACATAATTGTCAAGTCTTCTCAGAACAGGCAGTATCATAGCAGTGTTCAAATATGGGGTTTTGAAAAGCCTTTGAGGTATCTCAAATAAGGATGTGACATAATTAATTGAATTATTGACAACTCATTACCTCTTATTGGAATACTGTATTGGATGCATAGTAACTAATCTGGAGGCCCTTTTACCTCCTCATCCAAATTCTAGTAGAAAAGAATGTCTACATATAGCTTATATAATAGTTGCACAATAGGAAAATAAGGTGAATTTTAGCTCTGAAGTAAATGGAGCTTCTCAAGAATGGAATTCAGGATTTACATACAAGTTTATGGTAACTTTCACTGCTTTTGTTAGGGATTAGGATTCAATGTTGTGTAAAATATGAGATAAAGAAGGACAAATGACTTCCACTGTATTATTTCAATCTATCTTCTAGAAGGAGACATACCTATACACTCAAGGGATGCTTATAGTGAGATATGGTGTTGGTGATATAGATGAAATTTTAAAGGTTTACAATGTGTGTGTGTGTGTGTGGTTTTTCGTTTGTCTCTTTGTTATTTAGCCAGCAACAGCTAAAGAATCTTCAAGCAGCTTTGGGCAGTAGACTGGAAGAATCTCTATGCATAATTAATGAAAAAGTACCTTTTAATGACACAAGTACGTATTGCCTTGGTCTGGGTATCTTTGATTTTTTGGGTATCCATCTGGAGGGAGCGCTCCTTATGAATTAAAATGTATTAGCTGTAAGAAGTGTTGGACATCTGAACAGACACTTGGAGGAAACTGTAGTAAGTATTCCTGATACTTGTCATGGTCTTCTTCAGTAATTCTAAAATACAAAAGTTTACAATTCTAAATTCAAGTTTTTATACATATAATGAAAGTTGAAACTTTTGAAGGCTTCTAAGTGATTTGCCACTTGTCTTGCTTAGTGTTGACAGATTATTGTAAATGATGAAGGAAGACTGTCAATTTAATGGCTGCTCCATAAAGATTGGTTACTCATCTCAAAGAGTATTATTTTTGGCAGGATATATTCAAGAGTTGCAGTAAGTTAAGTTGGGGGAAAACTGGTGGCAGCAGAGCTATTGCATCAATAGTGGTTTGCACTTCTTGCTAGTGGGGAATTTGTCAGGGTGTCTCATTGATCAGAAAATACACAGTAGTTCTAACCTGAAAGGTGTCTTAGACTCGTTTGTCTCTTGATGGGGAAAAAAGCCCTTTTCACATGGGGACTTTTACCTGAAGCAATGTTTTTCTGCTTCCTTTCCAACTGCTGCTAGATCAGCTGAAATGCAGAGGATCCCCTGGTGTTAGGAGTGCTCAGCCTTTGCATGGCTTTGGTACAAGCATGGGTTAGTATGTGCTGGGTCAGTCTGCACTGTGTGCTTTCCTGAATAGCTGAACACAAGGGTGGGCAGGCACTGCTGGACTCTTCTGGATCTTCAAGACAAGGAATAGTGAAAAAGCTGAAAGTAGTGAAGAAGGAGCAGAAAAGTGAAAACAGGCTTTTGAATTTCTTGAGTATTTCATTGGTGGCTTTTGCATTTTTCATTCAGTTTAAACCTGGTGACAGTGTTTTAAGTAGCCTTAGGTTCTCCAAAAGCTGAATCTGGCAGCTGCTGCAGGGGCGAGTGTTCCAAGCTCTCCACTGGTTTGGCAATCCAGTGAGTCTTGGCTTAGGAACACCAGATCATCTCCTCTTCAGGAAATGTTGACTCCCATACAGCACATCATGCTTAGGTGTTGGTGCCTTGAATTGGTATCCTTTTCACTTCTCTCATTTTGCCTGGTATCTGCTGCCTATTTCTACTTCTCTGTCTTCTTTAGCTTGCATTTTTTATAGGTGTCTACCATTGTAGCAAGAATTTTGCTAAAATAATTTATCTGCTCATTCAGCCGCCATAGCATAATGCCTTTGCTTGTATAGTAGAAAACACTGCAAACAGAGAACATCTCTTTAGTGATAGGTCAATGAAAGTCAGGAGATGTTTGTTTGCTGTGGGTTCCAGCTGTCTTCCTATAAACCCTGTAGTTGGTTTCAAGTGTAACTAGCAGCTAATTTCAATAACAATCAAATGACTCCTAAGATGATTTCCAGAGCAGAAAAAGTTTTCTGAAGCATTTAGTTAGAAGTAGGATCCAATAATTTTGGACAGGTTTCTTTTCCCTCTAACTGTAACTACCTCTTTCCATGTGTTAATAGCCAAATGTGAATGACATAAAAGGAATAAGAAACTGTAGATTTCCTTTGCAAGCAAATTTTCAAGTAATCTGGTTGTTGTTCAACTGAATTGAGAATGGATGTGATCCCTATTAAATCTCTAAGATGTTGTAAGCTGTTCTCTAGGTACAAATAGCCCTCTGCCCCTCTAATTGTGGCTGCTTGTAACTGAAAAACCATTCTAGTTGCTTCATGACTGGAGAAGAAAGCTGAAATACACGGAAAGTATATCTTAGTCTAAATTATCAACATATTAAGTGTATATAGGAGCTTTAAAAAACTTTGAAACCATTCAAAAATATATTAGTCTTACTTGGCCCCTCCTTGTAATGTAATTGAAATTTGAAGATAATCTTGACTTCCTTAAGAGTGATTTCTTTTAAAAGATTCTTTCACTCTTGTTTGTGATGAATATTGTTCTTTGAGCAAGAGGAGTCTGCTCTTATCTTTCAAATTCAGGGTCTTCAGATGATTAAATTTGACTTGCCATCTGAGACAAGCATTGACCTGCTTTCCCTACACTTAATCACAGAGACTCTTAACTGAGGATATTTAGGCCTACCTCATTGGAGGGAGTTGTTTGTATATCTTTAATTAATATTGCTTACATGAACTGTAATATCCCTGCAATGATTTTTTTTTTTTTAAATCAGTATTTACCAAGAAATATCTTTTAAAACCTCCCACAATTTAACAAGTTCATGCAACTCAATTTTTGTCCTGTAGGATCTACTCGATACAATGCTCTGAATGTACCATTGCACAACAGAAGGAATCAGGTAAGTGCTTCTTGTGGTTTCATGTCTGAAATAAATAAAACCAGTCATTTTAGTACCTGAAGTGGCAGAAGATAGCCTGTCTTACTACTGTCATGATATTCTGAGATCATTTCTGCCCACAGAACCTCTGCACTTTTCAACAGGCTGTGTGTATCATTATGTTGAGGAGTCTTATTAAAGTTATATGAAATATTATTTTATCGGGTCAACCTTCAGTAAGCTGGAAGTTTGAACATCTAACTTTTGAAGTTGATTAAAACTACAGTATTTCAGAAGTCTTTTCTTGAAAAAAGGTAGGTTTGGTATCCTAAATTTTCCCTCAAACTGAGCTTCTTTAGTCACATCACTTGAGCCCAGAGAATGTATGCAGTTGTAAACTGCACGCTGGCGTGTGCACTAAAGTGCCATATTAGTTAACATTACTTGTCACCAGTCACAAACCTTTCAAAGAATAAATCATGTCACTTTGAGATCTCTGCATAGTTCATTTACATTTTGTGGGATACTTCTTGCCAGAGCATCTCTTACTTGCACTAAAATAACCATTATATATTTGAGTACTTTTAGAAGACAAAGTGTTTCTGTTCGCTACTGTAATTTAATGAGATTCCCTGTGAATATTGTTTATTCAGTATTCAAAAATAAGCATTCGTTTTCTGGAATGGCTGAATATTTAAAAGTTTTTTAGCAAAATGTCAAATCAGAAACCTGTATGCAGTCAAAATTTTCATGTGTTGCTACCACTGAGGGTGGGCTCTACAACACTGAGTTTTTTTCTGTTTCTGTTGTGTGTCTCAAGCCTTCAGGTTAGTGCATTCACTTGCTACTCCAAGATATAAAATGGTTGCTTTCTCCATTCTTCAGAAGTGCCTGTAAAGAAACCTTTTTCCTAATAATGTCTGCTGTGTGAACAGGTGACCTGCTGTACAGTTTTGTGATGGAAATAGCCTTAAATTTCAGGTTGCTGCTGCTGAGTTCCAAGAAAAATCTGAATAACTGCACGGGGACTTTCTTTTACTGTTTTCTGCCAGCACTATGTCAGGCAACTTCATGCTTCAAGCTCTGCAGTCTTGAAAATGTTCCAGGACAGATTTTTATGACTGGCTTTGCCAGTGGAGGCAAAATGTTGGTGTATTAGCACAGGCTGCAGTGTAAAGGACAGTAATAGTGTCTGTTTCCCTTCCTTGCATGGCTAATTAACATACACAAACTGAGGATAATGACTGCTTTAATTACTTGCCACCATCCCAGATCCATAATCAAGATTGACCTGATTTAACAGTCCATTGAAGCATTAAGAGTATGTCTCTGAAGGATAAGGTATTCTTTGCTGAAATGTCACTATAACATTATTCTCTTTCCATAAATCCCAACAGAGAATAGTTTTCTTCTCTGTTGAATTTATATTCCATTCTGGATTAATTTCTTTGATGCCTTCCTGCTGTACTAAAGACACAGAACAGCCTTAGTCATGAGCAGCAGCTCTGTTGTGTCCAGGCAAATAAGAATTGAGTGTTCTTGGTGAGAGAAACAGTCACCTTTAATTCTGGGAGAAAACATCATTGGTTTTTTACTAATTAAATTCCTTGCAACCTGGTGTTGAGCTGTTGTCAGCAATTAGTCTGTTGTTCTTTGGAAATTTCGGACATGGTTTCTGTAATTGTGCTGACCTCTAAGTGTTTTTGTGGCTTGCAAGTTTGAAAAATGCAGCAGAGGCAAACCATCACCAGTTGTGTGAAATAGAAAGATACTTTGTTGTCAGCAATGTGTCCTTCTGAGTAGCATTATAGTTGATTAACAAAAATTAACTTAAACACAATTGTTATGTATTTTAGGCTGAAATAATAACAAGAAGGAACTTACTGATAACGATTTTTTTTTGTATCCAAACAGGTTTTTTTTTAATATTTAAATAGATCCATGCCAAATACAATCATTTTATGCCTGTCTTTACAGCTGAAGCTGCGAGACCTTGCTGGCCAGGCCATGGCTTTTGTCCAAGAACTTGTAACAGCTCTCCTGAACTTCCACACGTACACTGAGCAGAAGGTACAGATCTTCCCCGTTGATTCTGCAACAGACACAATATCACCCTTAAATCAGAAGGTAATGTTTACACACTTCATCTACAAATATATTCAGTTATTTAGACTTTAATGAGTGATTCCATGCAAACTTGCACCACCTTTACTGGAATGCTGCGTGTTCCTGAGATCCAGCCCCTCCTGCATGAGACATCTCTGCTCCATGAATTCTGTGAATGTGGGTGAGGTGTAGCTGCAGAGAATCCTTTTCCCCTGTGCCTCTGCTAGAAGAGCGATATGATAATCAAATCAAAACTCTGCTGTTTTGATTGCTAAGTTGAAGTGCATTTGCTAAAAGTTCAGCTGGAAGGAGGAGATGTTGAGACAGAATGTGGTCTTGTGTTTTAAGTGTCTAGCTGTAATATTAACTAAAGAATAGAAGGTAGACATATGAGGGAGAGAACCTGGACTGCGTTTCCTTGTCAAAACACAACTTTATCATCTGATTTTGGGCTGCTTTTGTGAAGATGTTTCCTGTTAGTGTTCTGAAGCCTCAAGTTTGTAAAGCATGTTGAAATCAATATGAGAAATCTTACTCATCTCTTTTGATAAAGTTCAGTGGAAAGATTTTCTGAGAGTATCATCCAGAGCTGTTAAGCTTCATGTTTTGACTTGGTTTTCCCATGCTGTGAAATAGAGAAAATAACTGTGCACAAGGGTTTGTGTGGGGATGCATATATGTATGCTTTGGAACAAATTGCATTAAGATCAGAGTTGACTTCATAGTTTAAGGGGATCTTTGAGTATTTATGTTGCAGGGAGTATTTTGTGATTCTTAATTTCAGTTCAGTGGTTGGTTAGGCTCAGATTTAAGTTGCTGAGGTGAATTGTGGTTTGCATTGATCAGGTGGCTGCAGTGCATGTGGTATCAATGTTAACTATCACAAAACTTTCCTATTCTTTGGAAAACCTCCTATAATCTCTTTGCAGGTAACAAATATGCTTATGAAAGTGGTTATCCACTAGAGAAATCCCCTTCCATTTGCCTTCTTAGTTGTTTCAACTGTTTTAGTCAAGAATACCCTCCTGCAGGGATTCAGCATATTTTGAGAACATTTTGTTGCTCTTCCCACCAAATGCCCTCAGAGTGGCATGTCCTTCTTGTGAAAATTGTGTTTTTGTCATCTTTAAGATTTTTTGGGGCAGGAGTGGTGTCTCATTTTTTCTTTAATGTGACCAGTGTGGTGACTGCATTCTCAGGTACTACTGCAGTTTACACTAAAGCAGCAAAATCAGATTTCCTAGACATCTCTTATCACACATTTTTTTTTCCCTGTTTTTTTAACCCTGTTTACCTCCTAGTTAACACTTTGTTGTTTTTCAGCACAGCTGAAACATGCAACTTAATCAGAACCATATTTTCATTTTCCTTTTCTTATATTTGATTCAGTAGTTCAAGCTTTGTTTTTGTAGTTTTATATATATATATATTATTTTGTAATCTCTTGTAGTCTGCTCTATTGTGTAATCATGATGTAATTCTCTAAATGCATGCTACTTCTCTGGGCTTTTGCTGTGACTTTCCAGCATTAAAGCATCTTTTATTGATCAATGAAGCTGTAGTTGCTCCTGTATTTTTGATTAATTCATCTATTTGCTTGGCAAGTGTTCTCAGTGTGATTTTTTTTTTTTTTTAATTTTTCTTTTTTAGCTTACTCCACCAAGTTGGTCAAAAACCTCCCCTGAATATGGTAGAGAAAATGAAACAAGTGTCAGGTAGTGGCTTAGTGGATTTGCACTGATTTATTTTTCCCCAACTCCAGGTCTTGTCTGGTGCTTTCAAGCTATTTTCCCCACCAAACACTCAAAGTAGATGTGGACAATTCCCTGCCAGGTTCAAGTATTCCTTTTCTCTTTAAGTGTTGGATTGCTGGGTTCTGCTGGGTCTACAGCATCATGCTGGATAATTCAAATCCTCTCTCTTGCAACAAAAGTCAGGAGCATTCTGCATGTGTTATTTCTTCCTCCATAGATTTAGGAATTTTCCCTGATTCCATCCAGGTTTATGCATGCATGGATCAGAGCTTAGCATCTCACTGTTCTTGTTAACACTGTTACCGCACTGTAATAATACAAGGAACAACTAAAATCTCTTGTACTCTGTTTGCCTGGGATCTTTAGCTGCCCTTGTGGTGTAAATAATCAAAGGTGAAGGTATCTTTCTGTGGGGTAAAATAAAAACCAGGATCGCTTTTAACTATCTATATTAATTTGTGGAAGAAGCTTTTTATGATACTGAGGTACCAGAATGGAAAGCTGATGGTGTTGTTACATTTTGATTATGTGTAAGAGTACACCTTATGTTCTCAGGTCTGCTTTTTTGAAGGCAAAATTAACTATAGGATTTAATTAAGGAATTTTTAGCAAAGTCAGGCAGGTCCATGAGGCCAAAGTTTCATTATTGCCCAAACCTGTCATAGTTTTAGAAGTAAGAATTCTCCTGTGATCGGTTGGAGCTCCATGCTTTGCATGCTTTGACTCATGTTGAAAACTGGACTGAAAACAGATAAAGACACATCTCTTGCTCTCAGTTTGACTTGGGTTTAGTTCTTCACTACTTTGCACAGCATAGCTTTGCAAATGTTTGTGCTGATGGACGAGGCTGGGAGGCAAACAGCTTTTGGGAGGAAGGTGGGATAGTTTATTCTGGTGGTAAATGGTGCATGGATCTAGCCTTAATTGGATGTAATTGGGAAAGGAATGCAAGACTATTTAAAACTAAAAAGTGAAGGTTTGATGTGCTGTGCATGGCAGTTAAAGTGACACAGGATGCAGTGGCAAAGCCCTAGGCGTGGTTTTGCCTGGACTTGCAGTACTTCTCCCTTTCCCTCAAGGTGTGTTTTTGCCCTATAGAAGAGGTTGCTGTACATCACTGGACTGTTGTATCTCACTAATGACATCTTAGGCATCGTTAAAGGGGACAGGGGCTTTGCCAAAATGTCCCTTTTGGTTATTACCTTGGCAGAGTTCACACGAGCCGTCAGCAAGCACCATTTTAAAACCTCTGTGTCCTCAGTTCTCACAGTATCTCCATGAAAACGCTTCCTACGTTCGCCCTCTGGAGGAAGGAATGCTGCACTTGTTTGAGAGCATCACAGAGGATACTGTGACAGGCCTGGTAAGATTTCCTCTTTTTGGTATCCAAAAAGATTCTTACAGAGCAAAAACACTTACCTGTTGTTTTTTCCTTTCAGGAAACAACTGTGAAATTGAAGGCCTTCTCAGAACATTTAGCTTCCTATTTAGGCTTTTTAAGAAAGATTCTTCCTTATCAATTAAAAAGGTACCTTTCATTTGATAGATAAAAAATAGGCACTGTGTCAGGCATATAGCACTGTCAGCACCTACAACTTAAATATTAAGTCAAACCTTAAAACACTCTAAGCTCTGCTCTGTCTTAAAAGGCTGAAATATTTTTTTTCTTTTTTTTATGTTGTTTTCTAAACCTTGAGATTAGGCATAGCTTTTTTGAGGCATTAGGAGTAAAAACATGCATTTTAAAGCCCCTCCACACACACCCTCCCTCACAGATAAGACTTTAAAAATACTGAAACTTTCGTTAATGTTTCTTAGTGTTACTCAGTAGCATTGGTACTATCCAGGTGTGATACACTGAAACTGTTAGTGCCTTGGGCCTCTCTGGGGGTTATTCATCATTGAGTAAATGTAGCAATGTAGTAAAACTTGGCCAGGTGTACATCCCTTCTGTGAAAATCTTTGTTCCTGACCTGATTGAAGGGAGGTGAATTTTAGGTGCCAAGAACTGCTTTAAGAGAGGGTTTGGACTAAGGAAGAAGAAAAACCTTGATTTATGCCTCATTTATAACTCTTCTCGTGCTCCTTAAGGAGCAAAAGAGAATTTATGTAGTAGAGGGAAAAGTCTTGAAACTTAAATTGCTGCAATCAGTTCCTTGCTTTGAGGGTAAGTCATTCCTGGCTTGTGACCTAGGAGTGGAGATGCACATGGTAATTTTCATGTATTGATGAGTTCCTCTGCTATGTTAGCCTTCCTAAAAGAAATTCCTGGTCTGCTGTTGCTTTGGACTGGGGAGGTAGAGAACACGTATGTGCTCCAAAACTCGTGAACTTGTTTTTTTTTAAGACAATTGCTTGCTTTTAAAAAAATAATTCATATATTCCTAGTTTGGAAGAAGAGTGTGAGTCTTCTCTTTGCACAGCTGCTTTAAGAGCTAGAAATATGGAGCTGCACAGAGACATGAAAAGGTTGACTGCAGTCTTTGAGAAGCTACACACATACATCAGTCTTCTGGCCTTACCAAGTAAGTGTCAGTTCTGGCTTGGTTGGTTACCCTGTGGCTGGTTTTCTGTGGGTTTTTATAGTGTAATGGACTGTGTGCCTCTGTCACCTCTTAATTATGAAATCATTGGTAAATTACATTTTATTGCCAGTCATCACTCCCAGCCCCTTGTCTTCATAAGGTTATTACAACTGTCATGGTAATGAATGAATAAAACGAGGTAAAGCCTTTGTGTGTGGGGAAAATATCTCCAAATTAGCCTGTAAATAGCAGTAGGAAATGGTTATTGTATAGGTTCAGGTTCACTCTTTGGAGTGGAGAATTTCAGTCTTCACTCTTTGGAGAGGCCTAGATGGTCCTTCCTACAGATGTGAACATCATTCTGTATGTGTGGTTTTTGAGACCAAAACAATTGATATTTATCAAATCCGAGTAAAAACTAGGGGACTTGGAAGCCTTTCACTTGCCTGCTCTGCCAAAATTGGATATATGTATATTTGATATTGAAGGGGAAATTTAAGTAAATGAATCTGTTATGATTTATGCAAATGGTTCTAGTAGGTGGAAACTGAATTATTTTCAAAGCAAACTTTTTTCATTCATGGTCAAATCTTAGTGTTGTGATTTTCTTTTCCTTCTTATGTATTACTCTTAGGTACAAGACCAGAAGGAATCCTTAGGACAAATTATGACTTTGTGTTTACAAACATTGCTGCAAGTCTTCATGGATTCCATGACATTTTAAAAGGTGAGAGTTGGGAATGTTTTCTTGTTTCAGCTTTGCTTCTTGTTTAGCATAGCACATGTGCAGTCTATAACAGTGCTGAATGTATCATATGTGATAAATCTAGTTTGTTCTACCTTTACAAGCTAAAAAGCTAAACTTACTAACTGCTTGTTTTAGACATTCATGCATGGTTTTTGTTCCTCCATTCTGTTAGCTTTGTTCTTCAGAATTGCTGTATTGTTTAATTGTGGCTCTCCAGATTTTCCTGAGTGGTGTTACTTTCTGAGCTTCATTGCTCTCCTGAAGCTAGCATATAGAATGGAATGCTATGAAATGAACGTATTTTCCCCTGCATATGTAGCACTGACCTAGCACCTGCCTTCAAAGTGGAATTTTTCCTTCCTATTTTTAGGGTGATGACTATTTTTAACATGAATATATAACCAAAGCTTACAAAGAAGTGTGGGTTCTTTTTGAAACTTGGCTTCTTCTGGAAAATGGTCCCTGCATGTCCTAGAATTTCAGTACTATGTAGCTGTTCCTGGGGAGAGTATAATCCACAGAGATGGATTTTTACTAGTCAGCTGTTTAAACATTAAGCTTTAATAATTTTAATCAAAATCGGGTTTTTTTCTTAATAGCATTAATAGTATTACCCCATTTTGCAGAGTCCTTGTTTTAAAGAAAAAAAAGGAGATATTAAAGATACTAAAGATTGTACCTCACACAAAATGACACCCTAAGCCAAGAGTTCTGTAGCATAGATAAGTTTAAAGTACTTTCTACCCCTTAGTATGGTCACTAAGTCAATCCAATGTACACTTTAAAGGAAATACCGAAAATAGAGCTAGTGAAAAAAACTGTCAGTAGAATTCATTAGCTTTCAACAGAAATGCTCCTCTTAATATCTCACACTCCCATACTCAAGAATATTTGATCTCTCTCTTCTTTCTCAATCCCAAGTAATTTTGAACTTCTTAAGAATACCTCAGTTTACAGTTTGTGGTGGTGATGAGCTGGGATTTCTCCATTCTGTAGCAACAGTACTCTGTTTTAAAATTGGTGCACATTGTTTACTTGTCAGACAATTATTTATTTTTTTTATTAGGCCACAGTGAGAATGTACTTACGTGATAAATACTTGGTTCTTTTTAAATTTTGGTGTTGAAATTAATATATTTAGGCTAAGATGCTTTTGTGAATGACTTCAAAAAGTTTTACATTTTTAATTTGGCATAAATGTGCTTTTTGTTTTCCAGATATTTCCAAGCACTATAGCCAGAAAGCTGCTTTAGAACAGGAAGTTCCAACTGCCACACAGAAACTCATAACTACAAATGACTGTATTTTATCCTCTGTTGCCGCTTTGACAAATGGAGCGGGCAAGGTAACGGATACATTTGTTTCAAACAATGCCTTAACTTGTGCAGATTCTTAAAAATAAAAAATAAACTTAGCTGAATGATTTAGAAAATCTCTTTGTGCCTCTGGTATTAATAATCTACAGTGTCAGGTTGATTCTTGAGTTATTTTGAGGTTATGAGTTAAAAACAACTGAGTGAGTGATAAAAGCAGATACTGTGTAGAGGATGCTTTGTGCTAGGAAGGTCTAAATCACATGGAAGAGCCTGTAGCTTGTTTCAAAGTCTTGTTAATAAGTCCAGTTTCACTAAATACTTATCTTTTGAAAAACTAATTGCTCCAATGAATCCTTCTGGTCAACTTAATTCAAAGAGCCTCTTCTCTTGATGTCTGTAGATGGCCTCGTTCTTCAGCAACAACTTGGATCACTTCACCACCTCGTTGAGCTATGGCCCTAAGGGAGGAGCAGAGTTCATCAGCCCTCTCTCAGCTGAGTGCATGCTGCAGTACAAGAAGAAGGCAGCTGCCTACATGAAGTCCTTGAAGAAGGTTTGTTCAGGCAGCATGCTTGCACAGAGAGAGCGTGGTTCTGTTGATAGTTGGTTATGCCAAGGAGAATGCAAATTGAGGATTTGCAGTGTTTGGAATGGAAGAGATTCTCTGAATGACAGGTTTTGGCTGAGGAAATGGAATCCTCAGTGCAATAATGCTACTGAGAACTTTAGAGAGTGTAGTTGCCCTCACAACTGAGGGTATGTGCCAATTGTGTCATTACCTATTTCCACTAATTATTTCTGTGCCAAGACTCCAAGGAGAAGAGGGTGGCTGCTTATTTAAATTTCCTCCTGTATTCACCAGGAATACAGAGCGAATGAAACCATATTTTTACACTTGCATTCAATGGGAGGCATAGGGGAAAAAAAAAAATAGGTACCCTGGAGAAAATGTGCTGAACCAAAGGGTTGGATGCTGTTAGATCTCCCTGTTGCCTCCATTAAAATTAACAATTAAGTCATAATGTGCTTAGCAGTTGTTACTAAATCACTTCACTGCAATGTCTGTAAAGAGGACCTTAAGATGCCTTTGGTCATTAATAAACACTTGGAGTTTTCTGGGTACTTTTTTTTAATCAACTGTACCTTTTGGGGCAGTATTTCTTGAGAGCTTTTTCCTACTGCCCAGTAAGCACTTGGAACATGAGGGTTTTTTTTCCTTTACTAAAGTAAGGAAAGTACTAAGAAAATGAAAATAGAATATCTGTTCTGATCTAGTGTGTGACATGTTTTGAGAAGTTTTTTTTTATTCTTCTGCAGCCTTGTGCAGATTCAGTGCCTTATGAAGAGGCTTTGTCCAATCGCAGAGTTCTCCTGAGTTCTACAGAGAGCAGGGAAGGTCTTGCACAGCAGGTATTATGGTATACATTGTACTAACGTATATGGTAGCGTATTTTGTAGAGGTAGACTTGTATCAAAGTCTCCACATTTATGTCTGTGGTCATTTGTAGGTATACATGAATATGTTGAACCTTAACATTAGACTGTAGATGTCTTGTAGAGTTTTGAAATAAACTCATTGTCCGACTGGGTTATCTTGTGGAATGTACATGTAGATAGATATAGAGGCCAGGATTATGCCATTGATATCTTCAGTTGGAAATACAAGAAGTCAAGTAATCTTTAATCATTAAAATAAATACAGAAATAAGGCATACTGAAGGATTAATTTTTAACGTTGTGTACTGATTTGAGTCCTCTTGGACTATGCAGGAATTATTAGCACTAGTTAAGAGCAGTGATTTATCTTTTCAGTTAGAGTAATAGATTAGAGTTTCTATCTATAGTATGCATATATATATGTACATACATATATATATAATTCTTTTCTGGAAGGTGAAGCAGGGTGGGTAACATGGTGTTTTAAAAGGCACAGCAGACACAATTTGTCTATTGCTTCATATGAATAACTAATTAATAATGAGACTTCTTTATTAGCTTGTATACTCAGCCTGTGCTTAACTCATTTTTACTGAACTGTTACAGAAGCAAATACTTTGGTGTTTTTTTTATTTTTTTTTTGTAGTTGCCAATATTCTAAGTGAAATGAATTTCAGCAGAAATATGCAGTGAATGGATGTGTTCTGTTCCATATTTTTTTTCTTACCTGGACAAAGTGGGTGGGTCTGTCTGTGTGAGGTGGGACAGCTGGGAGGGGACAGTTTGTCTTTCTGGTGTAAGAAAAGGTAGTGATAGTGCCAGGTACACATCTTTCGAGTTTCTATAAAATTCTTCCCTGCTTTGGTTTTTCACCTAGTACAGTGTTGCCAGTTTTATGAGTTGTTCATGTTTCAAACTAAGTAAATAGTGTGGCCATTTTTGACAACCGCAGCTAAACACACAGCTCAAAACAGTGGTTGTTTACCTGCTGCACTTTGTTACCTCACTTACGTAATGGTTTTAAATAATACTGTCCTCAAACATTTCCTGTGTGGGGTTTTTTTCCTCCCTGGGTTCAATAACCTGGACTGTAAACTTTCCCTCCTAAAGGTCCAGCAGAGTTTGGAGAAAATTGCAAAACTTGAACAAGAAAAAGAACACTGGATGTTGGAGGCCCAGCTAGCTAAAATAAAGCTAGAGAAAGAAAACCAAAAACTGAAGAACTCTCTTACTGGACATTTAACTGAAACTATCCAGGAGCGTTCAGTTTTGCCAAATATAGCAGAACAAAAGAAGGAAACCACAGAAAAGAGTCTGAAGGAACCTATTAAGAGCACCAGTCTGGTGAGTAACCTTTCCCTTCAATAGAGAAAATCCACTTTCTTTAGTAGCAGTGCTGTTTGATCAGTGGAACACTAAAAATGAAAGCCTTTTGACTGTATTGAAAAGCATTCACTCTTGGGGTCCTTGTATTTGCAAAGCTGCTTGCAAATTCTTTCTGCAGAGTTTGGCACTTCTTAGGTTTTGAGACTTTGTTTGCTGCCTTTAGTATTGTGAAGATATTTTTTGTAGTTCTGTACTTGTGTAACTGAGGGGGAAATAACAGGTGTTAACCTCCTGATTTGCCTATAGTTAGGAAACCTTGCAAGTGGTGTGTATCTCAGTTGGGCCCATATTTCCAGTACTTTTATTCATCTCTAGGTATGTTAAAGCAAATGGAAGTAGGTAGGTAGTGTTTGTAAATGGATTTGAAGACTTATTAGGGTTAGTTTGGGTTCAGCAATTGCTTTTGGATGTAGTATGTGTTCTTTCCTTGCTCTTCTGGGTTGGTAAATGGCATTTTCCTGTTTACTGTACATATTTAAAATGAACTGGCCTTTCCCCTGAATTCTGCTTCTGAAGTGGCTTAGTGGTATTAACAGGAATGTCATCTGTAAGAAATAATCAATCTACTCAGCATTCAATAGCTTTCTCTTTGTTTGTTTTTTTTTGTCCTCCCCACTTACCTGGTCCAGGGTAAAAATAACCAGTGGATTGTTTTGAAATCCTCAATTTTGAAGTAAACTGGCATCTTAAGTTTTTGATCCTCTATTTGAGTCCTTAGGAATTTGAAGAGAGTGTTACTCACAGGTCAACATATTGTATGAATATTTCCCATAAACATAAATTTCTAGTCCTGTTGAGATCAAGGGGGAAAAAAGCCCCTTTGATTATGAAGATACTCTTTCATGAAACCAGGTATTGGCTTACACTGCTCCTGTAGAGTTTTATCAGTACTTACTAGTCAGAGGGGAAAGGAAGGAATTTGGAAGGTATTCAAGACATCCAGGTTGGCTTTCCTTCCTCTTAAACACGACCAGTAATGTTTCAGTGTGCTAATGTGGCTCTGAATTAGTTTCATATGATCAAACTGTTGCATAACTGTACGAGCCCAGCTGCATCTTGTTGCTTTTATTGCCTTTTCCTTGTGTACCTCATAAGACAGGAGATATATTTTTGAGAGTTTGTGTCATGTTTAATTCTGTTTAAGGCACTGATGTAACCACTCTTGTTTATGTTGCAGGTGGAAGTACTTAAGTTTGATTTCAGTTTGAACGGTTGTAAGATTGTTTAAATTTAAAGTCCTTCTATGACTGAAACCAAAATGCATACCAAATGGTATCTATTATTTTGCAGTTCTCATTAAGTGTATTTTTTATCTTGTTCTAGATTGGAATGTTGACTGTAACTACTGATAATGAAAAGGTAATCTGTTTCAAACATTATTAAAGTCCATCTGTTAAATTATTCAATTCTGATTCTACTAAACTTATTCCACAGGTCTAATTACCAAGAATAGCCCTGTATAATGACACAAGTCAACCATGTAGTCTTTATATACTAAATGGTCAAATTTCTAGAATCCATGTGTTCCTTAATTTTCTTCTTCTGATACTAACTGTTACTTGGCCCATGTAAGCATTTTGGAGCAGTGTGAACTGAAGTTGGGGTCTGCTCTCTGTAATTTGAGGAAGGCACTGGTCTGTCTGTGCCTCAATAGCCCAAACTGCATTCCAAGCCTCAACTCTTAACCCTCAAGGAACGGCTCAAGCTGCATAAAAGACCCTAGCTGCAGTGCCTGGGGTACAGAGCAGAGGTCACCCTGAAACAAACCTCCAGCCAGCCCTCAGACTAAATGTTAACTCTTTATTTAGCCCTGCTATAATGTAACATGTGATTCAGCAGGGACTTCTGAGAGTAAGGCTGACTGCTTTTCCTTTTCTGATATCACAGGGACCTGATGCAGTGTAATTCACTCCTCCTTGTCTTCTGAAAGGGGGAGGGGGCTAGATAATAACTGACACAAGTTCTCAAAGGCTTCTGCACAGTGCTGAACTTGAAGATAATTACAAATCATGTGAAAGCTGACTCCAGTGGGTTAGTTTGTAAACCACTGAGTTCTTGGGCTTTTTTATATTTTCTTTTTTTAATTTTGAATGTCTAAAGAAACTTTTGGAACATGCAACATTAGTAAAAGTTAGACTTTTGTATGCTTCTGAAATAAAGTTATGTGAAGGAATTCTTCCTTGTTGGGAAGAGGCAGTAAGTTTTCCTGTAGGTGAAAGTTGTTCACTTCTGCAGTGGATTTTTATCTTCATCACACACTTGATATATTAAAGCAAGTTAAATTCTTGCCTCTTCAGTCAGCTCATTGTCATGTAAGGAAATCTGACATTAAGAGTCCCCGTTAGAGTGACAAATCGCAGGGTGGCCTGCTGTAATTTGTCTTTTGTGTTTGGGGAATTTGATACTTTGATACTGGTAGAGCAGCCAGGCCTCAGAAGGAAAGAAGAAAGAAGTCTGTATAGAGACAATGTTGTGATTCAGGTATTCAGTCTACTGAACATAAACCGCTTAAATTTTTCTTTGCCAGGCTCCAGATGTTGAGTCTCGTGAAGACCTGATAAAAACTCACTACATGGCCAGGATAGCAGAGCTGACCTCTCACCTGCAGCTTGCTGACAGCAAATCAGTGCACTTCCACGCTGAGGTGAGCATGCAGGCAATGACAGTAAATCTCTTTTTGAACTTCCCACAGGCAAGTGCTATGATAGTGAGTTTCAATATATGGAGCATAATGTTTTATAAAACTCTGCTCCTGGAATATTTTTGATTGTGGTCTAGCATACATAAAAACGTATATTGTAAAAGAGCTTTTTATGTTCAATAAATCCTTTGATAGCCTTGTCTTGGCTGTATTAAGAAATATAATGTGTGTCATGTATAGGTTTGTTCATATAAGCTGAAGCAGCTGGCTTTAGTTACCAAGGAAGTTTTGACTTAATTTTATAGTGTTGCTGATGTCATTCAAAAATATTTCAGTGTATTATGAAGTGATGGAAACAGCTCTCCTGAGAAAATTGGTTCTTAGACGTAAGTTATGCGGCAAGACTGAACAAGATGATTCATTGTATCTATGGTTTCCTTTTCATTTTAAGTCATGAGGGAACTTGTCTTGAAAGTGGTGGCTGTTTTGATTTGTGTAATAAACGATGTGGAATAAACTAAAGCTCCAGGTTAACAGAGGAAATCCTCTTAAATATTTTTTTTTAATAGAAGATGATGTAGTATGGAGGAACCATATTTTCTGTGGTATTTGAGCCTTGTGTGAAGTGAGTTTGTATTGCTTTTTACTTATGAGAAGTTTTGTAGCAGTTAGGAGAAAAATATGATATTTAGAGGACTGGCAATATGGTAGATCTGTAAAATGAAACATTGAATGTTAGCTATTCCATTGCCTCTGCATTTAAAAATGAACACAAGCTCTGAGTTTCTTGAAATCCAAGTATCACAGAAAGATGAAAAAGTCCAAGGCAACCACTTAAGGATGCCACAAGGCAATACTCTGGAACTGACTTTGATCTCTTGTACCCTCCCTGTCCTGTTCTTGGTAGTGTCGAGCACTTGCCAAAAGACTTTCTCTGGCAGAGAAGTCCAAGGAATCTCTCACGGAAGAGTTGAAGCTCGCCAGTCAAAACATCACCAGATTACAGGCAAGTAAATTGTTCTGTAATGTAATAGATGAATTTTGTAATCATGTATATGGGAAAGTTGGAGCAGAAAAATTACAACCATCTAGCTTGGCCATACCATTACTAAGTCCTGAGTTGTGGAATAATAGGAACTCTAGTGGTATGTAGAAAAGAGCCTTAAATCATCCACTTTAAAGCCCAGGTATAAAGTTGAAGTGGAACATGCTTCCTAGAAAAGGTTACAGTAGGCAAACGTGTTTTTTAGCACATTTGATATCAAGGATTTTCATGAAAATGAGATAGTTGTAATGTCAAAAGGGGTGGTTGTATGACTGATTTCAGATGATACAAGGAATTCTTAATCCTTTCTTGCACCCTGGCCTGAAAGTTCTAAAAAATGCCAGGTTGATTTGTACCTTTTAATATAGGTACTTTAATATTAAGCAAAGATAGTTTTGGGCTAATCTTTAAGAAGCTGTTGTTAACAAAAATCAACTCTTACACCATCCTGTGAGTGTTCTGTCCCTTTGTTCTTCTCCTCCACACAGCTGAGAAAAGAACCTGTAGTACAATAAAGTATAAATAAATACACAATTCATAAATTCCTTCACGTTTTCTTTACATTTATTTAATATCATTATTGTTCATCTGTCTGTGGTGGTGAGTTCCACAGTTGCTCCATACCAGGCCGTGAACATAATGTTAGAAACTTCAAACTGTCGTGCCCATGGACAATCCTTTTTAAACACTTTTTTTGATTTGTTCCTTTAAGAAATTCCACAATCAATGTTGAACTCAGCATGAGATGTTAATTTCCAACTGCATATTAAACTTCCTAGGAAAGATAGCAGGCACACACCTTTTGTACATTTAATAGTCTGCATAATACTGAATAACAGGCTTGTTTAGGTTGGAAGGGTCCTCTGAAGGTGATTTGTCCCCCTCCCTTGGTCAGAGAGGAGTGAGTTCAGATCAAGCTGTGGAAGTGGATATTTCCTATACATCCATGCTGGTCTTCTGCCACAGTCACTCCATGTCTTAGGCATTGGATTGTTCCTCGTTCTGTTCTTGGTCATTCAGCTTTCCTGGGCCCCTGTAACATCCAGGGCAGTTTCACCTGGGGCCTTTCCAAGCAGACCTTGAAAGAAGCCAGAATCTACTCTCCTTGGGACTAGGGTTGCTGTAATTCTACTGTTCATCTTGCTTCCCTCAGGAACCTAAATTCCGCTAACTCATGGTAGCTGCAGCCAAGGCTGCCATTGGCTTTCACATTCCTGACCAGCTTTTCCTTATTTGTAAGTAACAGGTTCAGCAGAGAGCATCTATTGGTCCCACTGATCACTGGTACCAAGCAGTTCTTTGCCACACTCAAGACAACTTCTCAGATGCTTATGTTCCACCTTGCTGCCCTTCCAGGATGTGTCAGAGTAATTAAAATCCCTAATGAAGATCAGGGTCTGTGCATGGGAGATTTTTATCTGCTTGTAGCAGATGCCTGTCATATCACTCTATTGTTCTCCTGTGATCCCTACTTTTGAGATCTTAATAATTTTCAAGCCACTCCTTCAAACAGAGCAAGATTTTTTCCCTTCTGTCCTTCCTGAAGTGTGTGTATCCCTTCATTGCTGTGTTCTAGTCATGCACACTATGCCCCCATGTCTCTGTAATCCCAGAGAGATCATAGCTCTCTCTAGCTAGGTGTGGAGTGGTGATTCCTTCAGCTTTGGGTGCCATGTCTGTTCTTCTGCAGGCCATGCTTTAACCCTATAAACATTACTTGTTTCCTGGCTGGAAGCAGTGGTGGAAAACTTAGCTCTTACTCTTTTATGTAAGCCATAAAAAGTGTGTATGTGTGGCAGGGAAATCTAAAGGAAGCAACACAAAAATAAAGGGAACAAACCATACATGAGACTTAAGGTAAAAGTAAAGTAGCTGTTGACTTCTCCCCCTAGGATGAATTGATGACAACAAAGAGGAGCTACGAGGACCAGTTAAGCATGATGAGTGACCATCTGTGCAGTATGAATGAAACCTTGACTAAGCAAAGGGAAGAGATTGATACACTAAAGATGACCAGTAAGGTGAGCTGGCAGTGCTGACACAGGGCCCTGGCTGCAGCTGGGGGTGTGAGGGTTACATTTGGTGTTCCTGCAGGACTGCCCTTGGACAAACCAGTTCATGAGCTGTAATTCTTACACTGAGCCAGCTGGAAAGAAAACTCCAAACTTCCTTCTTCAAGTTCCAATGAAACAAAAATTCTTGCTAAGTGTACACGTGTGGGAAAGAACAAGCTCTTCGTGTCACTGCCTCACATTAAGTTCTCAAAGAGTATCCTCTGATGGCAGATCACACCATTTTTTTGTTTAAATGTGGTGAAAATGGAGCTATTTGTAAATCTAGCTGGTGAGGCTGTGTGGTTACAATTAAGTTCTGGGTAGAAGTGTCCCTTCTGCACTGCTTTTGGTTGCAGCATACTCTGTCCTTGGCAGCTGGTCTCTTTCTCTGTTTTATTTCCATTTTCTAGCTCATCTGTCCCTCATGTAGGAATGAAAAAATTGCAACTTGTATTCTTCTGTGAGCTTAAATTTTTTACCAGGCAAGGAGTCTACCCACTTATCAGAAACAGAGTTTAATCTACCTAATGATGAAAAATGCAGGAGTCTTCTTTTCTGAGCAGCCAGTGATTAAAATCCTATTCTGATGCTGCTAGGGAGAAAAAGATGTTGTGAAGGCCTTGGCCTTTTGCTTGTCTGACTGTGAAATGAATAAATTATCATTATTCTCCTTAATTGTGGGATGCATGGAAGCAAGTGTCTCCGAAGGATTAAAAAAATAAAAATAATAATAAAAAAATCTATGTTCTGATTAAAGATCCCATGATGGTGATTTTTATTTTTTAGAGTAAACTCTTCCCCCTGCTTTTCTTCAGATTTCTGAATGTTTTCACTTGACATTGTATTCTTTAAAATTACTTTGTTGTGTATAAGCCATTGTGTGTCCAGAAGGAAGCTCTTGGCTGCATACCCAACATAGCACTTAATGTTTTTGTAAAATGTTTTATGGAATTTCTCACTTGCCATACTTCGAAGACTCGAATTGGTACTCTGTCTGAGGGACCTCAGAATCACAACAGAAGCCACACAGGTTTTCAAATGTTACCAAATGGAGATTCAGTTGAAATCCAAATGATGCAGTTAAAGCCCTTATCACTTGGAGAGAATTGTTGGTTGGATTCAAAACAAATGTTATCTTCAGGAAATAGGAGGACTGAGAATTGCCAGCAAGTAACTATTGTACAAAACTTTATTTTAAGCTCCGCATTTCCTTTGTGGAATTACTGCAGGTCAAATGTGAGTTGGCTAGCTGTTGAACAAACTCTGTTTTGAATTAGGAATAATCTGCACAATCTGAATTAAAATAAAATTTATTTTGGGAAGAAACCCAATATGATGGGGGATTGATTTTTAATTTGATGCAGTTATTCTACAAGAATTTATTTGGAGTAGCACCTGAAGGTGCATTATGATTTGACTTGCCTTCGCTGCCCTTACAATGTTAGTGGTATTAATACAATTGAATGTCTTGGGGTGTCTCTCAAATGTCTTTCACAGGTTTCAGTTATAGTAAGGAACTGTTCTGCTTATTTGAGATATTTGGTACTTGGCCCTGTTGTGTTTATAGAAATAGAAGAATTTTCAGAGCAAACATCAGTCTGTCAAAATTAGAGGTCTGTGGACTGTTTATTTTCAGTCTGACTGTACCTTGTTTGCTGTAGGCATAAATTATCAGACATCAGATTTTGTATGTTACCTGTCTAGGTTTCCTTACCTGATAATGTTCTCTTTGTTTGTTTCTTGTTGCAGGGAAATTCTAAAAAGAACAAAAATCGATAGTTTACAGCTGAGTCTTTGGAAGCTGCTGCTGCACAGGATGCAGATAGTGACCATTCATTATCCAGTTCCTGTTTGTTCCAGGAAGCAGAGGCTGGTATTGGGTCTAGTAAAAACTGAATTGGTGCTGTAAATGGCTTTTAAAATATTTAGAACTTGTAACAGATAAAATAGACCTTAATGTTGGCTCTAAAACAGGAAATACACACACTATGGATAATTTATATAGTAATTACCTTCAGTTTTTACTGTGCACTTTTTAAAACCAGGTTTTGATTTCATGTAACAACTTCAGATTTTGTATATTTTCAAATATGTTTCTGCATTAACAAGTTTGGATTGGTGCAGTAGGTGTCTGTTTTTGAGTTCTACACGTAATGATCAGCACATGTACATTCCATTACTTGTTAATAACAGTTTAAAAATGAATTTGGAGACTTTTTGGCTGTGCAAGCTGTGCAGTTACTGTAAATGTATTACTCCTTTTCTCAGCCCTCTAGAATTAATTGGAATTGTGGTTTGAAATGATTTTTACAAATTCACCAAGTAAATGGGATCATTGTTAGACTGCAGCAGTGGAAACCTTTCCTGCTTGTATCTGGCACTTTGGATTTTGAGGTAAAGAGCACAAATAGCTGAATTGGGCTACTTCAGTGAAATTGTTTTAAGCCATTTCTGTAACATTTTGTTTACACATGTATGTATATATATATATATATATATAGGTTGAAATAGCTGTTTAAGGCTAGAGGAAACTGAGATTGTCATTTGCCCCAAAAAGAGTGAAACAATGTGTGTAGAATAGATCAGCTTATTGTGCTCTCTTACAGTAAAGAAGAAATATGTAGAAGATTTAAACACTGAATTTGCAAAAGGTCTTAATGGAATTGAGTTGTGATGGATTCACTGGGGAGGATTCACATGGCTTTTGCTGTGTTTTCAGAAGTTTGTGAACTTAAGGCCTCTAAGATTTTAAATTTTCTTTTCCAAGTGAAATTTAATATCACAAGTTTTCACAGCATTGATTTGTTGTTAGGGGGTGAGATTTGTTTGTGTTAGGTTGGGGTTTGTTTTGGTTTTTTGGTTGCATTTTTTTGGTTGGTTGTTTTTTTGTTTTTTTTTTTCCTTCTGGCTATGCCCAGGTTGCAGAGTGTGACACTGTGGCGAGGTGTTCCAGCTGTTGCTGGTGGAGTAGTTACACCAGCCTAGGTGCTCTCAGTGCTTCCCTTTGTTCTGATAGTTCTTCCTTTGTGCAAAATAGAAGTGGTTGTGAAAGGGAGAGGACACGGGGAGAGCCTGCAGGGTTTCTTATTGATGTTGAATTAAGAGCTGTGTGCTGGTGCTAATGAGGGTTGGGAAGTGTTGGCTGTCTCTCCAGCCGTTTCATGGAAGCAGATACAGCTTCAACTGTTTCGTTTAGGATTGGGAAGCTAATTGCTTTCTTCCAGTTCTTTTGAAGCTGCCTTTTCTGAGAACTTTCATCTTGCACTGAAGGTACTAATCCACTTATTTTAATTCTCTGAATCAAATCACTGAACTGATACTACTTTCACCAATACTGCTTTTCATAGGTTGCTTCATTTAGAAAAATATTTTGCTTAGGCTAGTTTTTACATGTCTGAATAAAAATAACTCACTAAGCAGTAACCATGCTCAAGAAAAGATAATTCTGATCACTAAAGCTGCCTTCAGTTTTTCAAGGAAATGTTTTGAGTAAATTCTAGACAAATGTAAACTATCAATACCCAAATCTAAAATCTGGCAAAAGAAATTTAAATCAGTATTTTGGTTACTGCTCTGGTAGTGCTGTAAGGGGCCACAGGACATTGCATTTAACTCAGTGGCATTAGAAACTGGATCAAGTGGAAATACCAACTCCTTGTGCTTATTATTTCCTAACCAGATGATGCTGAATCTTTCTCAAAATCTTAAATGCTGTTAAATGTCTAAATGGCTACTGCATAAGGCTTTTCTGTTAAAAAACTGAAGCCTTTTTTCAACATTGCAGCCAAAATTAATTTTTGAGGCAAAGTTTTACAGAAAAATTATTTTGAATTACTTTGCAATGGTATCTGGAGAGCATCAATGTGCAAAATTTGGACAAGGAAATTTTACTAAAAGAATTAATCTTCAAAAATGTACAGGGTGAATGTTTGCCTTCTAGGTGGTTCATTTGGCAAAACGGTGAGAAAGTGTTGTAAAGTATAAAAATCTTCAGCACAATACAGTGTGAAACCGGGGCTGAAGAAAAGCCTGAGCATCAGTTACCCTTTTTAATGACAGTTCAGTATGGCACACAAGTTTGTAAAGCATTTTTTGAGTGCTTAATTCATTCTTACATATTGTTGGGTGCCTCATGAATAATCTCTCACTCTCAGGTTAAAGTGGCTAATTCAGAAAACACAGCACTATTTTAATGGTTTTAATTGGATTTTCAAAAAATCCTTCTGAGCTTTGTTTTAAAGCTATACTAACATGTTCAAGGCTTTCAAAATGTTCAGCTGTCCTAGATTTCTGAAAGCGCGTCCCCACATTCTGTGTGTTCAAAATAAATATCTGCTGTAATCAGGCATCCATTTAACTTCAAGGTTATCCTCTTAAGAACTACTTCATCAGTTTGAAACTGCCCAAGAAGCACCAAAGCCATTGTCTATTTTAAAAGGCCTTAAGCTCCTGGAGGTCAGAGATTTCCTTGCCTGAAAGCTTAACTTCTGAAACAGGAATCTTAGGCTGTTGTCATAAGCTGTGCAAGGGTGCATCTCACTGCTGTTTGAACAATGATTATTTTAAATTGCTGCATCTGTGATTCAAACAGCAATCAGCTAAAGTGTTGGTTTAAAGTTGGTGGTGTTTGTCATGTCTCTTGTTAATCCCTTCAGCTTCATTCTGAACCAGTTCAACATTTCATGGTATGATGGTGCCAGATCTCGGTGGATGTAAAATATCCAGGCTGGAACAGTTTGTTTCCCTACCTTTAGCTGTTCATATGGTTATTTTCCCTTTTACCCAAGTAATTTCTAATTTGTATGTATAATCCTGCTGCTCCACCTTCCCTTGCTGGCAGATGAAGTTTTGGTGTGAAGGTCTTTAGCCTGGCATGTTTCCTGGATGCTGCCTTCACTGTTCAACGACTCCAAAACACCGATTTGCTCCGGCTTGCAAGGCATCAATTGCAAACAGGAAAGGAAATAAACTTTGTATACACACAGTGCCTATCAGGAGAAGGGAGAAGTTATTTACTGGCTTGGCTGAGCAGTGTCAAGGCTGTGGGGTTTTTTTTAATAGTGTAAATCCAATGATATATTAAACTTTGGAGAACCATCTGGCCCAGTAAATTGGGCAAACCTGTTGTTTAATACAGTCTGTATGTAAGGTAATTTGAGAGCACTATCTTAGCAACAGCAGGGTCATAATAAAAACAAAGCTTAGTGCAGTAAAAAATTGTAATTGCTGCCAGAGGTCTGATTACTTCCTCCCATGAAGGCTGGATGCCGCTCTAAGAATGCTTGTTCTGTCTTACTCTGCATTTTCTGCCTCTGTCACTACCTGCAGTTTTGCTTGGCTGTGAATTCAAACCATGTTTGTTTAGGAAGAGGCCATTTTTTCCCAAATTCCTGAATATTTCCTTTGATCAGAGTTAAAAACTTTAATTGCAGTTGTGCCTGCAGTGCTGCCAGCTTGGCAGAGGGGGACAGAGAAGAGCTTTGGGGGACCTTTAAAGCAGGGCCTGAGCGGGTGTGAACTGTAGCACATGGAAACTTGCCTGGGGCAGCACTCATTGTCTGCCTCTGCTGTGTGTGTAGGCAGCCTTAGACACGTCAGTGCTCATTCAGAATCACCCAGCTCCCTACAGAGACAAATACTCGAATTGCTGCTATGCTGAGCTGCAAAAAAAAATCAATTTTTGATTCTCCATGGGCTTAATTTGCAGAGCAAGACACCCTACTAAGAGTCCTAAAAGAATTCTGGTTATAAACTTCTTGCATGGAAATAAATTGCAGAGATAGCAGTAGAAAGCATAATTTATCTGTTTTAGCACTGATTCATACTGTGAGTCTAAAACTTTCTAAGCTGATGAGGTTTTAACTACAGAAGAAGCCTTTGAACCCCAGGCCTGGTATCAAAACTGTGCTTGTGGTCTCCCATAAACAACAGGGCTTTTTCCTGGGAAGAGTTAAACCCACGATGCTTGAGAGTGCAGGTAATTTCCAATTATTTTAGGCACTAGGGATTCTTTCATGAATTGACTTGGCATCTAGTCCGTGGTGGCATGTAGCTTCCTGCAGGCTCTGTCTGTATAAAGTCCTTTGCTTCTGGAACGAGTGTGAGAACACCTTACATCACCACACACACCCTGCTCTGCCCCAGACACAGCCTTCATCCTTGCCTGCTCTCCCTTAAAGCTTCAAGTTTCTTTTCTCTTGGATTTGAAATGCTTCCTTTTGTGCTTGAATAGTGAATGCAGAACACTGTATCCAAGAAGGATCATTTTAATGAAGTTATGAGCTTGAAAAGGTCAGAACTGAGAATTTCAGTGCAGTTTCATTAACTGCAGCCTTTGGCATAGGGAACAGCTGTAATCCCAGAACTGGTGCATCTGTACCATGTGCAGGGTGGGATAGAAAATATGAACCTGAAGAGGCACAATCAACTTGACCAAAAGCTTCTTCAGAAGTCTGGAAACAAGTTTCTGTTAGGTTATTGATCTAGCCTATGAGCTCAGGAACATTTGAAGCCAACAAGGACTCAATTTCTCACAAAAAGGACATTAAAATGCTAAATTTCTATAATCAATTTATATGTAATCAATATGCATCATTTAAATAGTGAATGTGATAAGCTTGTAAGTTTTTAATAAAAATTGTACTCTATGAAAGATGGATTCATTTAATGCGAGGAGAATTTGACTTTTCAAAACAAATGCATATTAGCTAAGATGAACTTTTGCAGAGATTTCTTTCTGAAATAAAAGCAAAGCAGTAGAGGAAGGAGTTAAAATAAGTCTAGAAACAAGTGTTTTTCTGACTCTGTTTAGAAATATTTGGTTCTAGCCAGATATGAACTGACAGGTTTTGCTTTGATAAAATAGTCATAGACACTAAACATTTTATTAACAGGGCAATATACTGCAAAT